TTCATGCTGCGACCATACCATTGTTATGTTATTCATATGCATAGTGTGAGTACGATATTTAACTGTACTCACTCCCACCTGCTCTTCACGGATGCAGGTTAAGCAGTTGGCGGGTGACGAGGCAAGACGAGTGGGTGGTCTTGCTTTTGTTTAAGACTGATATTTACTTCCGCATTTATGAACTTGTTATGGTTTATTTGACCATGTTTGAACTAGTGATTTTGGATAAGAGTTGGACGGATTTGAATACTTGGGTTTTATGCTGTTATTTATTGTTATTTTGAATCTTGACAAATGTGTTGGTTCATTTTGATCTTCTTGTGTGTTGGATAAATTGCTCTTGGTAAATAAGTAGCGCCCTTTGAATTTTAAACTTAATCGAGATTTTGAAAAATTAACTCTGATTTTCATTAAATAAATTTGATAAATCTTTTAAAATTAAGTGGGGCGTTACATTACTATCTATCCAAATACAATCCATAATTATCTTATCACTTTTGGTTAATAAAAAATTGTATAAAAGGATATTCACTACCACCATTACAACTCATCATTCATGAGTTCAGAGCAAAAAAAATACAGAGAATAATTTTTCATCACATATACAATATAATGCTTCCAGGCTGGGTACACTTGATTCCGATAACAAAAGAAACAAACTTTTTTTTTGCGTCTGAGAGCACCCCGCATTATTGAAACCCATCACGAACGGGAGAGCTGTAACGCATTCCATATACTGTTTCATGATGAACAGGTAATATTTACCTTTGTTATTTCAATTTTATATAATTTAAAAAATTATTTTAATTAATATTTATAAATTTGTATCGTGGGGTGCTTTCATTAAATGCATAATACGTTATCCGAATATGAGAGCAACAAACTTTATATAAATTGAGAGCAATCTAATTAATACGTTATCCGAATATGAGAGCAACAAACTTTATATAAACTGAGAGCAGTCTAATTTTTGTAAAATATATAAACTTTAAACGTGTTTTTATATATAAAATTGTATATACTTTTAAACATGTTAGTTGGGCAAACTTTAAGGATATATATATATGTGTGTGTATGCTAACTTTAAGTATATATATTTTTCTTATAAAATAGTCTAGACAGAATTGAGGTAATTTCACATTTTTCGATAATAATATAAAATATTTTAATACTTTCACATATGTTATATAATAGTCTACGTATTCTTAATGTCTTTTGGTTGTAACATTGTTAACACATATAATATTAGATACATTTAAACATATTTAGATAATTTTTTTACTCATTCTTTAATATCTATGTGCATAAAAAGAGAATAAGATTTATAAAAGATTTTTCGGCAATATACTAAATGTTAGATAAAAAATCTCATTTGATTTGTTATATAATATTTCGAGTTGCATTAATTTTGATTTGTATGTGTAAACTTGATAAATTAAGCGTATGAAAAGGAGCGTACGAATTACTGTAAGGATTTAAAAAATAAAAAATAAATCTAATTTTTTAATATTTTCTACTAACTTCTAAACGAATTTATGTCATAATTCGTCATAATTTTCCAACATCATGTCAATATTAATTTTATATATACTAGGTAAAAGGTAAATCATTATCTCAATATTTATTCTATATATTCTAAGTAAATCTTCTCATCTATCTCAACGGTCCGCAGGTAGTATTTCATACTTTTCTATTCATAATCAAATATATCAAGGCTTTACAAATTTTACTTCACAAAGAAAGTGTTCAATAATTTATATTTTTTTCCCTTCTTTGCAATCCATTTATTTTTGTTACATATATATAAATAATATTATTTTTAATATTTCACACATTAAACATTTCAGGAAAATATACCATCCCGTGCATCGCACGGGCTACGCGCTTGTTTTTTTCTAACAAGTGCCATGTTCATTCAACCATAGTCATGAATTTAATACATCTATAAATATATAATAAGAATTACCAATTTTAAAAAATGGCAGGTCAAACTCTGATCAAACTCGGTCAGCATTTATTACATGCTATTAATAGCAACTTCTTTTTTTTTTTAATGAAAAAACGAATAAGAGATAGATGTTGGCCTTAAGAAGTGGAGAGGTTGTTAATTGTAGTTGCACAATATNATTGAAAGATATAAATAAATTATTTCTTTCTAATAGTATATCTTTCGTGAAGAAGATGACGAATTGAATTGTTTTAATTAATATTATTATTATATTTTATCATGTTGAAAATTGTCAATTAAAAAATTCAATAAAATTTTTACTTTACCATAATAACTTACAGTTATTTAAAATAAAGTAATTTTTAAAAATAATTTTTCGAAAACAAAGAGAGTAACAATCTTTTCTTCTTTGATATATACCTATAATATATATATATATATATAGGTGTTTGTGTAATATTATATATATACCTATTATAATATAATCTTTATTTAGTGCGGTTCGGTTAAAACCGCACCATTCGATAATAAAACCGAACTGCACGGAATATTGTGTGGTTTTTTAAAAGCTTAACCGTACCCGCAAACTGCAATTTTTAAAAAGCGAATCGCACCGCACCGAATACATCTGTTTGGCTTAATTTTCGGTTTCGGCTCGATTTTGCTCTAGTTCTTGAATTGGAATTAATCAATCCCACCTTCGAATTAATTAAAAATAATAAAAATGATCTAACACGATGAACAATTAGAGCATCTACAATGAAGTGGTTTAGTCTTGCCTATGTGACATGTAAATCAACCCAAGTTTTGGATGACATGGATAAAATCATAAAACTATGTAAAATTAACAAAATTCACTCCAACGCAAAAAGACTAGGCCTCTACTTGGGTCTAAATTAGACTTAAGGGTAGACCGGGTCTCTTTTTTCTAGTTGCCACATCAGCAGGACCCAATCTACTTTTATTTGTATTGGAGAATTTATTTTTTTAGACTCAGCAAGACCAATCTACTTTTATTTGCATTGAAGAATATATTTTTTAAACTAAGTCTAAGGTAGCATATAATTTTGTGAGATTGAACCCAAAGTATCGTAAATACTTTTGGTAAAATCCAACCTACAGACTTTCCAAATGGAGGAGTAATTTTATTTCTTAATTACATTAAATTTATACAATATCCTATTAAGTTAAATTTACACGATCCTAAGGAGATTGATAAATTGAATTTGTACAATCCTATAAGGAGATTGACTCGAGATTTTATACCATAAGCTAACCGACTTCCTTGTTCTTATATAAGATTTCTTCATCTGGTTCTCATCTCTTATTTTCTAAATATTTTCTCCAATTCTTTTCTCTCAATATTCAAATAAAAAAGATCAATTAAAAGAAAAACATGGGTCCCGAGGCCTTAATGTTCGGCGTCGTCGCGGCTGTTACACTTGGTCTTATATGCGCCGACACCATGACTAATAAGAAGAAAAAAATTGATGCAGAAACTTGCAAGGTACCACGTTTCTTTTTTCTTGTCTTTAATTAATTACATTAAACCGTCGACCTAATTATTCTCCTGTGGAGAGTTTGTATATTTTTTTGAGGGGAGTTTTTATTTTTTTTGTTTCGTATTGTATTGTATGTTGTGGTATCTAAGCTGTTTTGGGTAGTCCTTTTATTCTGGCTAGTGAGTCGGTTGTAATTATGTGTTTAATGAATGAATTCTAACGCTTTGAAAAAAAAATAAAAAAATTCACAATATGCATATCTATTAGAAAAAGTATCACTCCATTTATATTTTTTTTTACTATGACATTTTAATTTAAAAGTAGGGAAAACAAATTTTACCAACATGAACTTTAAGGCTTTTATGAGTTTGCAACATAAACTTTTATTTTTTATAAATTGATAACTACCAACCTCGGCCAACGAACCGACGGAGCTAAGGGTAAATTTATAATCTTATCTCATATCATATTATGAAAATATAATTCATCTCCAATTTCTTCAATCTACTTTCCGATTTCCCTAATTTAACAACCCTAAACCTTTCACGCTTCTCTAACCTTGGCACTTCAGCGAAATAGTTTGGAAAATTAGTGAGCAACGCAAGAAACACATACAACTCCCATCCTCTTGCATATCAAAATGCCCCATTTAAGCATGTTCAACAAAAATTCATATCAGATTCTGCCACATTTAAATTGAAAATTAAGATTTCAAAATTGAAAAACATACCCAGTATTTGGCACACGAAATATATCTTCTTCCAGGATTAAGGTCAGTCCACGACGTCCTCGTCACCACATTTTTTTTTGCAACGGCAAAATCTTTCCACGATATGCTCAGCTGTGTGCCTCCACTTCATTTGCTCAAATTAGTGTTAGGGTTCTGAAGTTGGGGAAATTGAAATGAGTGGATAGAAGAAATTGGGTGATATTTTTATATTATGACATGAGATAAGATTATAAATTTACCCTTACAAAAGTTGTTAGCTCCACCGCTTGAGGAGTTTTTCGGCCAATTTTGGTGGCCGAGGTTGGTAATTATCAATTATGTATAGTTGAGGTTATAATTTATCCAAAATAAAAATTTAGGTTGCAAACTATAAAGGCCCTAAAGTTCAAGTTGATATTTTTTTTCCCTTAAAAGTATTCGTATCGTAGAGAAAGTATGGCTTATGTATCATGTTTTATCTTCAAAATTGTTTATTGACTGTTGCAAAAAATAATAATAATAATAATAATAATAATAATAATAATTGTTTATTGACCAGGGGGTGAAGGAACTGAAGGAAATAGTTCTGGTGCAGAATGAAAAGATAAACTGTTTGGGTAAAATTGTAGTCGCATTTATGAACAGGATTCGCACGGATATTGAAGTGAAGCCGGGGAATAATGATCCCTCGATTGATGCACATAAAGCCCTATTGGTATGTACACAGTCATAAGCTATCAATAGTTATTTACAAATGTTGTATTAAAACGTGTCCTGCATTAAATATAAATGGACATGTGTCATTATATAAAGTTATAAATGACTCCATAATGGAGCCATCCAATAGTTTCATAGAATTTCTGTTCAGCTTCATGTTTTATCTCTAGTAAATGTATATATTATATGCTTGTATAATATAAACCATGTAATTGTTCAATTATATGTGCAGAGTTTTGCTATGAAACTAATTATTGACCCTATAATGAAGCATAGCAAGAAAAACAATATCATATTTTATAATTATACAAAACAATTACTTAATAAGAAATATAACAATATTGAAAAACTAAAAAAACTTATATTTTTAAATTTGAAATTGAAAAAATAAATACTACAAAATATTTGTAATATTATTTAAAATTATTTAAAAATTCTTTGAATCATTTTAGTTAAACATTAGAATTAATAATAATATGTAAAATCTAAGTAGTTTATATAATTTGAAAGAAATAGTAAATTTTTTTTGTAGTATTTACTTTTTTTCAAATCTAAATTTTAAAAAATAACTGCTTTTATTTTCATTGTGGTTGAGTAGTTGATAATTATATTTTCTTATTAAGTAGTTGTTAACTAAAATTAATATTTTTCTTATTAAGTAACTGTTAATTGTATTTTATATTAATTTGAAAATATGTTATTTTTACTTACTATGTATAGCATGTTGGTTCTATAGCAAAACTGTACATATTCATACACATATAAAATTAAATTTATAGCATTTATATCGAGATTATGAATAACACGAATCTTAAATTAATTAAATTACACATAAAACTCATATTATGGCTATGCAGGCCGTAAAATCGAGCATTTTCAGAAACATCCTCGACTCGGAAGACAAAGGCCCGCCTAACGAGTCAATATCATTGTCCGAACTGAATAACAAAGAGCTCCAATCTCTCCTTAAGTTCCTATACAGTGGGTATCTCCCGAAAGATATGGTCGAAAAACACTTGTACTCGTTGACAATGGCTGCAAACGAATACGAACCCCTCCGAAAGGTATGTGAGCATCACCTTCGGGAATCCTTGAGCAAATCCAACGCGCTCGATATTTTAGAAATATCCGACAAATGTTCAAACAAATCCTTGAAAGATACCACATTGGACTTCATTGCAACATATTTTAAGGACATCATTTTTTCCGAGCAATATGATGCTTTCGCGATCAGGAATCCTCATTTGGCCGTGGAGATTGCAAGGGCTTCCTTTGTGGAATAAGGATTTAATAAAGATTCATTTATGAGTATGATTTTATTGCTTAGTTTTATGACAAACAACAAAAAATCTTGGTCGCATATAGGCCTTTCCAAGTTATATTGTTGTTTAGTATATTTAGCCAGTGACTTTTTTTCCAGCATTTATTTAGATTCCATAGCGACTATATATGAATCTTGTTTCTTTGTTTCACTTATTCTTTTCTGGTTTTGGAATTATTTCTACATACAAACTTGTTCGTAAACACATCTTGATTCAGCTAGTGAAAGTTGGAACTCGACTCATTTGTATACTTAAACGAATCAAGTTAAGATAACTAATCGAGTTTGAGTTTGTTTATTAAACGATATATATTTAAATGAATCAAACTAGTTCAACTAATCGAGCTTGAACTTGTTTATTAAAGGAGCAAAACAGAGTGTTGCAATCAACTTGTTTCTACTGATACAGTAAAAACTAAAAACTAACGGAGTTTCATGAAATTATTACACGAGCAGAGCAGGCTGATTTCTTGTTGGTCTTGGGCTCATATTCCATGGGCTTAAAAAAAGGTAATCCGTAGCTAATAAAGAAAATGGAAAGTGGGCTTTATGCATGGACTGTAATGATTACACATAGGCTTGTCCAATGAAATATCAACTGGGCTCAAGGTAAGGCCTAATAGGAAAGTCCAAATTAATATCAGGGTCAAGAAGTCAATTAAATCCCCATGTAAAATTTCAACTCCATAAAAGCTTGTTAAATTATTTCGATCACAAGGAATGAATCACATAAAGATGTTATAGTAATGTAGAATACCTATATAAATTACTATTATTATTATTATTATTAAAACATGATCTAGAATGATGAACAATTAGTAATAAAAATTAACCTAGACACTTTCCAAATGGAGGAATATAATTCATGGAAATCCCCACTTTACTAATACAAAATTAATACTTATATATTGATATTTGATGACATAGCAATTGCTCTTGTTTCCATCTCCTTTCGAGTTTAGAATGTTAGGATAATTACAAGAGCAATTTTATTTCTTAATTAAATTAAATTTATACAATATCCTATTAAGTTAAAGTTACACGATCTATTAGGAAATTGATAAATTGAAATTATACAATCCTATAAATTAAGGAGATTGCCTCGAGATTTGATACCATATGGTAACCAACTTCGTTGATCTTATATAAGAGTTCTTCCTCTGGTTCACATCTCATATTTTCTCAATACTATCTCCAATTTTCTTCTCTCAATTTTCAAATAAAAAAGATCAAGTAAAAAAACATGGGATTACGTTGTTACCAGGTCTTCACGTTGGGCGCCGCGGCTGGTGGTGCAGTTTCTGCTTTATCCGCCGTTATCATAAAGAAGAAAAGATTTGATGCAGAAAATTGCAATATTAATAAACCCATGAGCAATTTATCTCCTCCATCAAATTCGGACAAGGTTACACGTTATTTTTTGTCTTGTCTTTAATTAATTACGTTAATCCTTCGACCTAACAACTATGCTAATTATATTTTTTCTGCCAAAATTGCACACGTGACAGTTCAATTTCAAAATTTGCATATCTATTAAAATAAAAGAATGACTCCATTTATGTCCTTTTTTTTATTAATTATTTATGACATTCAATTTGGAAGTAGTCGTATCATATAAAAAGTATGGCTTATCAATCTATCGTGTTTTATCTTCATAATTGTTTATTGACCAGGGTTTTTGGAAAAAGTTTCAACGGGGGAATGAACTGAAGGAAATAGTTGAGATGCAGAATGAAAAGATAAATTATTTGGGTAGAATTGTTGTTGCATTTATGAATGGGATTCACAGTACTGATATTGAAGTGAAGCCGGGGAATAATGAACCCTCAATTGATGCGCATAAAGCCCTATTGGTATGTACATAAGTCATATATATATATATATATATATATATATATATATATATTTCAGTTTCATGTTTTATCTCCTAGCCTCTACTTCAATAGTAAATGTGTATATATTATATGCTTTTTTTATATACTATAAAACATGTAATTGTCCTATTCCATATTCACACACATATAACATTAGATTTATAACATTTATATCGAGATGACGAGATGACAAATATCACGAATCTTTCATTAATTAAATTACACATAAAACTCACATTAACATTATTCCATAGATGCAGGCCCTAAAATCGAGCATTTTCAGAAACATCCTTGACTCGGAAGACAAAGCCCCGCCTAACGAGTCAATAACTTTGTCCGAATTGACCAACGAAGAGCTCCAATCTCTCCTTGAGTTCCTATACAATGGGAATCTCCCGAAAGAGACTGTCGAAAAACACTTGTACTTGTTGACAATGGCTGCAGACAAATACGATATAGCGCCCCTCCAAAAGGTATGTGAGCATTACCTTCGAGAATCTTTGAGCACATCCAACGCACTCGATATTCTAGAAATATCCAACAAGTGTTCTAACAAATTCTTGAAAGATGCCACATTGGACTTCATTGCAACAAACTTTAAGGACATCATTTTTAACGAAGGATACCGTGATTTCGCAATTGATAATCCTCATTTGGCCGTGGAGATTATAAGGGCTAGGACTGACTTTGTCGATAGGATTTAATAAAGATTCATTTTTTATTATGATTTTATTGCTTCTTTTTTAGGACAACAACAATAAATCTTCGTCGCATGTAGGCATTGCCAAGTTATTTTATTGTTAAGTATAGCCAATGAACTTTGTTCGGCATTCATTTTTAGATTCCATTAGTGACTATATATGAATCGTGTTTCTTCGTTTCTCTTCTTTTCTAGCTTTGGAATAATTTCTACATACCGCCTTGTTCGTAAACACAATTCAGTTGGTGAAAGCTTGAACTCGACTCATTTGTATAGTTAAACGAATCAAGCTAGGATAATTAATCGAGCTTGTTTATTAATTTAATCAAGCTAGGTCAACTAATCGAACTTGAAATTATTATTTATGAAACGAGCAAACTAGTGTGTGTGCGCAATTTTACTGCTACAGTAAAAACTAACGGAGTTTTAGTTTATTAAAAGTCAGTTGAGTTGAGATTTCATGAAATTACACGAGGAAAGCTGGCTGATTTCTTGTTGGTCTTGGGCTTATATTCTATGGGCTTGAAAAAGGTATCCAACGCGTAAAAATAGGATGTCCAATCAATATCAAATGGGCCGTATAAAATCAATCAATATCAAACGGGCCGTATAAAATCATCAATATCAAACGGGCTGTAATATAGAGAATAATGTTTTGTATGTCCCTCAAATGAAAATACCTATAGGAAAGTCCAAATTAATATCAGGGGCAAAAAGTCCATGAAACCCCTATGTAAAATTTCAACTCCATAAAAGCTTGTTAAATTATTTCGATCACTAGGAATGAAACCCCTACGTATTCTAGAATACGTAAATGAATTACAATTATTATTTTTTTTTTAGTTGCGGCTGTTTATATATAGATTTGCTTTAACCAAGTACATCAAATGGTAACTAGTAAGAGATGCCTCCCTATTAGATCAATTTTTCAATAATAATAAAATTAATATATCTCCCAACTCGATAAAAGATTTTAATCATTATCCCGGTAAAATTAGAAAAAATTATTCAACCATTTAAAAAGAACCATAATAAGTTAGACACTACCCACTTGAACTAAAAACTTGTAATACGTTGGATATTTCTTGTTGAAATACACACGGGATACGGTTTAGGCGTAACTTCCCCAAAAATACAATGACAAACGTCTCTAAATCTGTAGCACACCAGATTTACGAGCTCTGGCGAAATTGATGGTTTAGGCGTAACTTCCATAAAGATACAATGACAAACGTCGCTAAATCTGTAGCACACCAGATTTACGAGCTCCGGCGAAATTGATCGAAGTCGATAATTGAGCACTAAAAAATAGTAATAAAATTATCTCTCTGACAATTTTTCTCTATGTTTATCACAAATATTTTTATCCCTCAACCATTTACTTGGACTATTTTTCTTTCCCTTTTCTTCCTTTCTCTCTCTTTTTTCTCCTTTTCTTCCCCGATTTTTTTTTTCTCTTCATTCTGCCGTGTCTCATTTGCAACAAATGAGTCCATATATGTAGAAAATTTGCAGCATGTTGGTTGGGAAAATTGTTGAGTTGTTGGGAGATGGTTGGAAAATAAATAAATTAGTTGAGCAAATTAATTTACCACTCAAACACTCAAATTGACTAACATAATATTTATCCATATGTCTTCTTCTCTATAAGTCTTTCATTAACATAGTAAAAATCTTAAACTAGTAAACAAAAATATGCAATATGTTGTTGCTTCATAGATGTTTGGCGGGTAAGTGGAAATGAATTACTAGATACGGATTACATTAGCTATTTAGCTAGTTTAGTTAGTGCGTTATATTACCATATTTTATTAAAAAAAAATGGTTAATAATTGAGGGCGGACACGGTCACACGGACAATGGTTTTTTCTATTAAAATGATAATAAGGATTAAAAAAATAGTTTTAGTCATTTAATTTATTTATAATATAGATTTATATGATGAACTTATTGTGAATATACTTAAATTATTAACTTAACAATAATGATTAGTTTAAATACTATAAAACTATTTCAATTGATAAACCATGAACATATTAAAAAATATATTTTATGTAAATTAATTTATAAAAGTATTGTAAATTAAATTATATATTAATTTATAAAACTATTGTAAATTAATTTATATATGATTGGTGCTAAATATAAATAATACTAAAAAATAAAAAAATCTAAATTTACAATATATATATATATGTATGTATATTCTCTTTTCATAAAATCTCCAAACTCGAATTTTGGATCTTTCCAAAATTACCTTCTAAAAATGAAAAGCTAATCTAAAAAACACATAGTGTACACTAATCTTTTTCAATAAAATGGAACATAAATTCACTCCGTGTCCAACATAAAATAACCAAAGTAAAAGCAGCCTAACCAAAGCATTGCCTTCATCACTGCAGTATGTTACTAGCTAGTTGTTACACAAAGACAATTAGGAACACTGATTTTATATATAAACATAATTTCCCCTTAATTAATTAACACTGCTGCAAATTTGATTTGCTACAAAAACCATAAGCGATCTTTGATCACTTATTCATCATGAACAATTAACTTTGCCTGATTGATTATAATTTAACTAATCACTGATCGAACCAAGCTTCATATTCGAACCCGGCCCGATTATTGAACACCATAATGAAAAAATAAAATTTATAATTAGGCTCAAAATGCCTAGCTATCTACTCAATACTCTCGATCCAATTCTTGATCGTGTTCGAAATCGCTCGTTTCACAGTTTGTGCATCCATGTTCGCATCATCTTCTTCATTCTGTCGAAAATTCATTTAGTCATTAAATCATCCATAACTTTTGATACATAAACATATATATACGCGTACGTAAAATGAAATATTATTTAGGTACATTTTGTGTACATAGTAATTTCATTCGATTTTTTCTTACTTCGCCACCGATTGCTTGTAGATGGAAGTTATCGACACACGAAACCCTAGCTTCAAGAACGTTAAGTCCTAACTCTTCGAATGTTTCGAGTATTGAGGCTAGCAATCCCGGACAATTTTGGCCCGAATGAATATTCACTAAGTAGCCCTTTTCTAGGGTTTCTACAGTCACCCTCTGCATATATATAGAGGCAATAATACTAATATTAACAATATTTATTGTGGCTTCATTGTAAGTCATCATATTTTCCATAGACTAAAAAAAAAAAAAGAAAAAAAAAAAGAGTGTTACGGGTTGCGAATTATGGTGTCGGGCTGAACTTTCTGCAGTGGCAATTTCTTCGTTGAGTTTATCGACTTTTTGCTTCAGGTCCTTTATGTAGTTCGACGCGTCTAGCACGATTGAGCTCTCATTCATCTGTTCACCATTGATACATAAATTGTGCTTTAGGCAAAAGATGTACAATAGCAATTGTGGTATTCTATCAACTTATCTAAATCAATCAACAATATTAACATCTAATAACAAAAATTGTAATCTATCAACTTATCTAAATCAATCAACAATATAAACATCATATATACACTATCATAGCTTTTTTTTTTTCAGCAAAATATTAGATTATTATATATGAAATGAGTATATTCATCCTCGTTTGTGATTATTCCACCTATNAAAAAAAGTAACTCAAAATAATTACGATGTTGGGAAAAAAAAAAGGCAATAAATGACAGGAAAAAAATGCAGGGAATAGAATTAGTTACTGCGTGAGAATGAGTGATGGAACGTAGAATTTGAAGCTTATCATGGATTGATTCCTTTCCGTGCTCCCTCGAAACCATTGCCGTAGACAATTATTTCTCAAAAAAATCAGATTTATATCTCTTGATTTAATTTTTTTTACCCTCAAAATATATATATTTTTTTATTGTTATCAAATGATTTTTGGGTGAAATTGTGAGGAGGTGAGGCTTTAAAAAGAAGGGCGATGCTCTCTCAAATCAGTGTCATATTTTTGTTTGCTTCCCACATATGACCCGCGCGCGTCAGTTTTCTGATCTCAAAATTACTAATAATTATTAAATGAAATAAATATACATAAAAACACATTGTGCCTTGCTGGAAAATACTACTTCCTCCATTTTGAAATATAAGGCGTATAAAGATTTCTCATTTTTTTTGAAATATAAGGCGCGCTCAAAAATCAAGACAAATTTTTGCATTTTTTTCCAAATATACCCTCATTGTGTTGAAATTAAGGAAGTGTGGAGTGGTTGTGATTAGAGTAAATAAGGTTAATTTAGTCAATTTATTCATTAATTAATGTCTCTTTAATACTTGTGCAATAACCTTAAATGTCTTATATTTCAAAATGGAGGGAGTATATTATATGATAATATCTTGAATTTCATGTAAAATTAAACCACAATGTATGCTGCCTTTTGGCAATTAATAAACGATGATCGATTAGGAAATTTTCTATTAGATACGGGCGAATCGGTTAAAATTATGCAATATCTCACAATTATTTATTGTGTTTTGACTTTTTGGTGAGGGAGTTTATTAGTTGATATGGAAAGTGTGTATTGACGCGTGTTTTAAAATAAATACACTTAAAACGCGTGGTAATAGATAATTTGTGCAATGTCGGTCATCCACAATTATAGTATATCGACACGTGTTATAAAATAACTACATTTGAAAAATATGACAAATTGTGTGTTTCATTTCTAGTGATGAGTTATTCCCACACATAGCACACGCTTAAATAGCAGAGTCTTAAATCCTAATCATATTTAGAGATGGCCTAATCTTGCTTAGGGATGTAGCATACAAGAAAATTTACGGGAGGTCGATACGTCATACTATGTAAACAATATATATACTATCAGATGGCATACTTTTTTTTATATATATATTTTTTAAAGTATGACATTTTCGAACGAAAGTATGCATTTTTTTTTAAAATATGTCACAAAGTAATTTCAATACCTTAGAGAATGGAACCTAAGACTTCAAGGTTGAAAAATCCTTTCGGGTTTATTATATTATCTATTTATGATTGCTATTTTTTTTTTCAAGAAAATATGAATGGAGTATAAACCATATTAATTGATAGCTAGGCGATAGCTTATAAATTAGTTGATAGCTTATAAGTGAATTTCGAGCTTATAGTTGATAGCTTATGGCTGAAAAATTAGCTGATATAATAAAAATATTTGGTAAAATTAGCTGATAAGTCATCTAAAACAAAAATTTCAGCAAACTTAAGTTATTGTAATTATGCTCAACTAAGAAAATTTAACTAACAAAATTTATGATCAGATAAGCTCAAGTTCAAAAAAAAATCTTAATAAATCAAGCTTATTTTCATAATGAAACTTACCAAACACAAGTGTGTTTAAATTCAAACTGTAATTATGCAAGTTTGGAAATGGATTTCCCCCTTGATTGTTACATGAATTTCCACTTGTCAGAATGTTAAATGAAAGAAAAGAGAAGAAAAAAGTATATGTAAGCACAGATAAATGCATTTATGAGATGGTGTACTTTGCATTGGTCCAATATTTACTCATGTGACTTTAATTCATTATCCTCTGCTATTTATTTTTTAACGATTTATAAGTGTCCTCTGCTAGCTTTGTTATAAAGATTCTGAATTTTACATCTTACACGCACACATATACGCTTAAATACCTTCTTAAGAGTTTCCTAATTTGATTCATTTAACATTATCAGCCAACAACCACAAGCATAAATTTATGAAGCGACCTATAATTATTAGGCGAGTCGAACCTCCGTCGACTTGTTTAACAAATTGTTTAACAAAAAATGCATATTTATGCTATAAAATAGTAAATACTTTTGCTTGTATTATTTTGAATTCGACAATTTAGCTTAAAAGTATGTATCGTGGGATTGGTTCAAATAAAAACTAGGTCTGGTGTGAGAACCGTGAGAATCATATTTGATGTTATTTTTAATTGTGTATGATATTATTTTAATATTGCATTGTGCTATCATTCTCATAAATGCTAATACAAATTTAATTGTTATTTTTAATTAAATACATCCTAGTTAAAAATAGCACTAAAACATAATCAATCATAGCAGTATATACAGATAAAAATAACGGTTCTCACAGTTCTCACGCTAGGACTTGGTTCTCATTTGAACCACATCCGTATCGCTATCGAAAAAATATAAGGTCTGACTGAAATAAAATGAAATATTTGTAGTTTAGACTTTAGATGAGTAATTTGGTTTTAATTCCGTTTCTCCCCTAATTATCTGTTGTCAGAATGAAACAAAATTTGTTCCATTTTATATATATACAGCTAATTAGATAGAGGTCTTAATCATATAAATGCACATCTTATGGACAAATCAGATTAAGGGTATATCATTCAAAAGTTAATCACAATGCAACAAGAAAGACTATCAACAACTTGAGTGAAAAAAAAAAAATAAAAAAAAATAAAAAAAAAAGAAGAAGAAGAAAGAAAGATATTGAAGCGACCTGCTCTGGAAAAAATGGGAAAAATTATTAAAATAAATAATAAAACTCTCAATAATTGATAGTATATTAGCATCCATACAATTGTCACTGGAATAGGCCGCTGTTGCGCAAATCTGATATAGACGTGGCCATTTCCCAATTCTGGGTCGATTTCAGGTTGGAACAGTCCGTTTTGGGTCGAAATCGCTGACCTGCCGATAATAGGGGTTGGTTCAATGAATCAGCAGTTCTAAGTCGGTTCATGAACCTCCGATTTCGGGCCGAACGGGATTATAGAAAAATAATGAATAAATTCTTTTTTTTAAAAAAAAAGTCGAACTGTCGATTATGAACCTAAATGGTGCCGGATAAAACTATAGACCCGTTCAAATCCCGTTAACCACGGGCTTCACCAGGACGGTTCGACAGACCGGTTGCGCATGTGGCCATAACTAGTCTAATGGTTAGAGAATCATATCTTACTGTTGTATGTCCATATATTTAAATTGAATGTCATACTTATTTGATAGCATAAGTACAATTTTTTGTAACGAGTCGACCGATCTAATATGACGATTAGACCGTCTCACACAAGAATTTGTTATATAGTACACATTACTAGTAATTATGCTTGTAAAAGGTTAAAATCTTATGAGCACGAACATTTTGCACTTAATTTATCTCGACGTTGTACTATATTCTTATCCTTTCATGTAAATTTGTGTACTAGGAATTTGTGAATTTTTCAAATGTTAAATGGGGAAAAAATTATGAAATGATATTATCGTGTCCCCCTAAAACTATGTTTGATATATAATTGTATAGTATTCGACATTCTAACTAAGACTTCCTTAGTAATTCAAATAATGAGTAAAAAAAACAAGAGATATATTGCTAAAATTATATAGCTAGGAATTTATAAAAATTATATCTTTTTTTTTTAGTACAATCTATTACTATATAATACGGAGAAGAAAAATTATTTGAACAATTCGAAAATAATCATTTCGTTTTCCCGCTTCAATATAGTGTTTTCCCGCTTCTTCAATTCGTAAATTTTTTTTTTTTTTGAATTTTTTCAGCCCATGCAATTAGGTAACAATCAAATCGAATCTTTTAGCATTCAATTTGGTAAGGTGTTCCGATTTTAGCATTCAAATCCGATTTCACTTTTTTCTTTTATGCCAATCAATCCGATTTTTTTGGTTGTTTCAAAATTTGTTTAGATTTATATTTTTATTTTATTAATATATTTGAAAGAGAATCAATAAATGTTTATCATAACTTTTATTTTAAAAATAAATTTGAATAAGCATACCTTTTACTTTATATGAAATTCAAAATTACATATTTTAATATATTAATAAACGTTTATTATTTATTTTTTCCTTATGTGATATAATAGAATTTCGGTATTAAATTTGTAAATTCAAACATTTACAGAAAAGATTCCAAATAATTTTTTTGGGTAAATTTTATTTTATCTTGGTTTTCATTATCACATTTCTAACAAACTAATTAGTATTATATTTTTTTATCTACATTATCTAACCGATTTTTTATGATACAATTAATATAATATCTTAACAAATTAATCATTTGTCTAACCGGATTTATCTCTCTAACAAACTTGTCAATTTTTTTAAAATTAAAATGGTATGATTATTCTTATGGAGATACTTATCAATATATTAAATATTTAGAAACTTTTTTTAAAAAATGAGTTATCCCTCCTTTTACTTTTATTTGAAATTCCGACTTATATTTTTAAATATATTATTATTTATTTTTTTACATGTAAATATTTATTATTTATTATCTAAGTGATAAATATTATTGATTTATCTCTTTAATAAATATTTATTATTTATTTTTTCCTTACGTGATATAATGTAAATTTGGTTACTAGATTTTTAAATTCAAACATTTAGGAAAAAACCACGAACAAATTTTTTGGTTACATTTTATTTTATTTTAACTTTCATATAATCACAATCCTAACAAGCTAATTAGTATAATATTTTTTTACCCATTTTTATATAATCGGATTTCTTAAAATATAATTAATATAACATTTTAACTATTTAATCATTTGTATAACTTGATTTAACTCATTATCAAACTTGCCAATTTTTTTTTGAAATTAAAAAAAAATTGGAAGACTTTTATTTGTAAAATAAAAAAAATAGCTTTACTTTAAAGTCTGGATTATTTCCATTATTTTTTGTACGTTAACAATCATATATTTTGGATTATTGATTAAAAAAACAAATCAAACCGTAAGGTTTAATAATATTTCTTAAATAAAAAATATTGTATAAAGAAAAGTATTTAATATTATATATTTTTCATTAATTGTATTTATTTTATTTTCATAATAGACGAGATGTGAAAAATATAAATAATTATATTTAAAATAAAATCTAAAAAAT